TTAGTGGGATGAGAAACCACAACCAGATCTGAAAAAAATAAACACGAGAATAGGAAATACTACAGTGCACTGTACGTTGCAGGATAAGTACTAGGTCAAAAAATTTTGTTATAAATGTGTGTGTATGCTGGGTCATGATTTAAAGCGTAGCATTGTGGATTGTGGTCCAAAAAGTTTGCAAGCCCGGGCACTAGAAGGTGAACTTCAAGAGAGCAAGGGCCAGGGGCACCTGGGTGGCTCAGTCGTTAAGCGTCTGCCTTTGACTCAGATCATGATTCCAGGGGTCCTGGGATCTAGTCCCACATCGGGCTCCCTGCTCAGCAGGAAGCCTGCCTCTCCCACTCCCCCTGCTTGTGTTCCCTCTCTCGCTGTGTCTCTCTTTGTCAAATAAATAAATAAAATCTTAAAAAAAAAAAAAGAGCACTGTTTTAGAACAGTGCGTGGATCTGTGTTTCACAAATAAGCTGAATGAGTGAATGTCTAACACTATGCTCCCTTCAAGAAGATTAGAGTCAGAAATACAGGAAAAGGTAAATAATAGACTTTTCAATACTAGTATTAGTCTGAACCAAATTAAAAATGTCTTGTTCAGTTCCACCTCTGTACTTGCACACAGGAGGCATGTTTTAAAATGAAGGATGTAAGGAAAACCTTAATTGCTGCCCTCAAGGATGGCATCTTTGCCCTTGAGGACAATTAGGTTAGGGGCGAGACGAAACAGAAAATGTACCCAAGGCACCATACAGCTCACCTGTAACAAGTACCAAAGGAAGGGCAGGGCCACCTGCACTCCCTGGGTAGCGCGAGTGTGCGGGCTTTCGAGCTAGCTGCCGTGGAGGACACAGCAGAGCACGGCCTGCCTTTTGGGAAGAAAGACAGCGACCCAAGAAAATAACTGGCACCTGTCGGTGGAACAGACAAGGCAGCGAAGTTTCCACCCGTGGTCTACCTCAGAAAAGGACAGATGACAGCCGGACTGGCAAAGTAAATCTGGACGGAGCGGAGGCTTATGTCGGGCTTCGTAGAAGGGAAACTGCACGACAGGTCAAGGTCTGGGGAGCATGTTTCAGTTAGAGAAGTAATTAGAAATCCCTGCCCCCTGTGGAAAGGCTGTCAAGGTGAGGTGACCTTGAGCTGCGGCGCGTAGGTGTAAAAAGGTTCCGGGGAATGGTTTAGCGGTTCTGCCTCCGAGCGCCCAAGAGAAAAAAAAAAATCCTGTTTTGAGACAATACCTGTATTTGGTTTTCTTCCCGTCGTAGGACGCGGGTGGGGGTTGGAAGACAAGCCCCAAGGGGCGGGGCCAACGCTCGCGAGTAGGCGGGACCACGCGAGCCCTTCCTCTAGCTACTGGAGACCGGGCGGAGGGGCGGGGTTTCCGGTGGTAGCGGCACTCGGGCGCCGGGTGACGCTAGGCGGACGAATCGTCACGTGACACGGAAGTGACTACGAACAGGAAGAGGACGAAAAAAATAACCGTCCGCGACGCCGAGCCGAACCGGACCAGCAGCCACCATGAACAGCAAAGGCAAGGACAGGGGGCGGCTGGGGTCGTCGGGGGGAATCGTGCTAGCCTGGAGCGAGTGGGCCCGGAGCCCAGGGTCGCCAAGCGCTAGGCTTGGGGCGAGCTGCGCCTCGGTCCTGGGCCAGCTGCAGTCCCGGGGGCTGCTCCAGACGCCTTCGTCATCCTCGAACTACGGCTACTCGCTCCTTCTCGGCCCTTTCCTCCTTAAACTCTGTGGCGCAGTTTGGAGCTGCGGGCTCGGGTGGAGGGGTGGGGGGGGAAAAGGCTTGTCATGATGGGCATCTGCAGGAGCAAATGGGGAGCTAGAGCAGGGATTTGGGTAGGCCAATGGAGCGCCGGCGGAGGCGGGGCGCCGCGCTCCGGAACCAGAGGCTGGCGCCCGGGCTTAACTAGTGAGGTGCCGGCGCTGGTGGGCGGGCCGGGGGGCAGAAGGGTCTCTCTCTCCTCTTCCCTTCGATGGCGGCCCGAAGTTCTCCCGGTTCCTGTGATTGTACTAGTGTCTGGCAGAACACGATCCTCAGCTGTTTTTTAGGACATTTCCCTTTATCTTCTCTCGAGTCTGACGAGTCTGAAGGTTCACTTCCACCACTCTATTTGGAAGTCGACCTTGAGTAGGAATCTATGGGGCAAATCATCATAACCACTGTGACTTAACGAGGTCGTGGGCAGTTACACTAGGCTTGTGAAAACCACCCAGAGCGTAGGCAGGATGTACCTTCCGTTGGTACATTGGCAGGAACGGGTGCCCAGACCTGCCCTGCATCAGTGGAGAAACTTGGGTCCAGCGAGACTTTCCCTTACACCAGTATGCTAATGGGAAGAGCACCTTTTATGGCCAGTTAGAATCCACCATCTTCGTGTGTAGGTGGGATAAGTGTGCAAAGAAAATGCTTATTTTCTTGGTCTCAAAAATCAGGCCCTCCAGAGCAGTCTGTTTGCCCCATTTTGGTGGCTCTGTATGGTAGGCAACGTGCATTTTCATCTTGTTTTCCAGGTCAATATCCAACGCAGCCAACCTACCCTGTGCAGCCTCCTGGGAATCCAGTGTACCCTCAGACCTTGCATCTTCCTCAGGCTCCACCCTATACTGATGCTCCACCTGCCTACTCAGAGGTGCTTCCAGTTTACTAGACTTGAACTGAATACTCTTGGATCACATTTTCAGTCTTTAGCTAAGCCTGACTCCACATATTTATTTACTCTCCACAAAGAGGAGAGAGTGCTCACAGAATAGTCTGAAACATTGTATATACTTCAGCAGTTTCTGTTGGGGTTGAGAAGGCATGATCTGATTATTTTATGTTTTTTGGCACAGGCTGAGGTTAAGAAGATGAGTTTGCGTTCCTTGAGCCTAACATTAGCTATAGCAGGAAGTGACCCAGGAGAATACTGAATGGCAGCGAAAAGGCAGTTTGTGTAACTCACAGTGTAATCTGCACAAGGAGAATTAAGAATTGACTCATGAAAGAGATCTAAAATTGGAATGTCTTAAAGTAACCCGTTCCCTTCTCTTCTCCCTCTTCTAGCTCTACCGTCCGAGCTTTGTGCACCCAGGGGCTGCCACAGTCCCCACCATGTCAGCTGCATTTCCTGGCACCTCACTGTACCTTCCCATGGCCCAGTCTGTGGCTGTTGGACCTTTAGGTTCCACAATCCCTATGGCTTATTATCCAGTTGGTCCCATCTATCCACCTGGTTCAGCAGTGCTGGTGGAAGGAGGGTATGATGCAGGTGCCAGATTTGGAGCTGGGGCTACCGCTGGCAACATTCCTGTGAGTATGACCTTACCAGAAAAACTCAGCTCTTGTGTATTTGAACTTTCTGAAGAGATTACATATTCATCCTTTCACCGTCCCTGGATAATAGCTGTGGCATTAGTATAACACCGATTTCCAGTAGTCAGGCAGAAAGCAGATGAGGGGGCAGGAGAACTATGGAAAGTCAGTAGCATCTGGTACATTCCCTCGGGTCTGAGTTAACCAGATTCCTTTGTTTTCCTATATTAGGAGTCCTGCCTGCTGCCTTTTCAGTTCCAGTTTGGTACTGGTCTAGTAATATTCCTTATTCATTCCATAAGCATTTACTTCAAATTTGCCACCAGCATGGCATTCCATCGGGAAACAAGATGATTAAAACTGGAGAAAGCGTTGTCCCTATTAAGTAGCATTTGGAAAGATGCTAGAGGTTGTAGTTTGGTTTCCTGCTTAGTTCGCCCATGTATAAGAATTTGAGCCCAAATGGTCCTTGCTAGGGCCATCCACTCAAAACCATATGCCTGAAATGAGGTGAGAACGCCTTTGAGTGAGTGGTAGGCTCTTTCCTGTTTGTATCTTTGGGTTCACAGAGAATACAGACCTGCTTTACAACCCAAGTTGGTGGCAGGACTAGCTTTAAGATGCGATTGGTCAGCACATTGCCATCTTCCTAACGGATCCTGTTTCACTCGTGTCCATTTCCCTTGTCTCAGCTGCCCTATGCCCAGTCAACCTTGTCTTTTCCTTTCAGCCTCCACCCCCTGGATGCCCTCCCAACGCTGCTCAGCTTGCAGTCATGCAGGGAGCCAATGTCCTTGTAACTCAGCGGAAGGGAAACTTCTTCATGGGTGGCTCAGATGGTGGCTACACCATCTGGTGAAGAACCAAGGCCACCTCTGTGCCGGGAAAGACATCACATACCTTCAGCACTTCTCACAATGTAACTGCTTTAGTCCTATTAACCTGAAGTTGCAGTTTAGACACATGTTGTTGGGGTGTCTTTCTGGTGCCCAAACTTTCAGGCACTTTTCAAACTTAATAAGGAACCATGTAATGGTAGCAGTACCTCCTTAAAGCATTTTGAGGTAGGGGAGGCATCCATTCATAAAATGAATGTGGGTAAAGCAGCCCTAAGGATCTTCCTTTAATTCCTCTGGAGTAATACTGTACCATACTGGTTTTTGCTCTTAGTTAATAAAACATCAAATTAGGTTTGGAGGGAACTTTGATCTTCCTAAGAATTAAAGTTGCCAAATTATTCTGATTGGTCTTTAATCTCCTTTAAGTCTTTGATTTCTATTACTTGTTATAAATGAAACGCATTAGTTGTCTGCCTTTCCCTCCTTTCCATCCTTTGCCCCATGTCCCACCCTCACCTCTAGTCTCTTCCAGTTCCTTCCCGCCAATCTCCATTGAATCAATGGTGCAGGACAGAAAGCCAGTCAGACTAACTCCCTTCTCTCCTTGCACTTGTCCCACTTGCCATCTTTTAACTAGTCTTTCACAAGGATCCTCTGAAACCCCCTCTGTGCCCCAAGCACAGGCCCCATTACTTCTGCTTTTGCATCTCCTCAGGCAAAAGTGGAGGGTGCCTCTTGGACCCTCCTCATAGGTTGTTTCTTCATCCATGAACCAAACCCCAATTTGCTTCGGTGCCAGAAAAACAGAGCTCTATTTGAACAAAGGGTATCAATGCAAACTGTACTATAAACAGGTTTGTTTAAAATGTGGGGGCAAGGAGGAGGATGCATTTCAAAAGCCTCATGACGTCAGAGCCAAATTAGGGGAAGTTTTCCCATCCAAAAATTGGTTACTGTTGATTGTCAGAGTACCTGATGTAAGCCCTCATGGCTCCTGAGAATTCCTCAGCTGGGTTAAGGGGGTCATGTTATGAATCCCTCACTACAAAATGACTTGAGTCCAGTGAAATCTCATTAGGGTTAAGAATATTTCAGGGATCCTTAATATTTTGATTTTTGTTTTCTGAAATTGGATTTTATTTTATTTTATAATTTCAGTTCATCTAAATTTTGTGTTCTGTCCATGTGATGTTTGACTGTACCATTGACTGTTATGGAAGTTCAGCGTTGTATGTCTCTCTCTACACTGTGGTGCACTTAACTTGTGGATTTTTTATACTAAAAATGTAGAATAAAGACTATTTTGAAGATTTGAATAAAGTGATGAAGTTGCATTACACCTCACTTCAAGGATTCTTTACTCAACTTGTTTTTAGATTTCTTCTCCATATATCTTTTATGTCCCACCCAGAATTCAGATAGGTGCTGCTGTCATTCTGGGGTTTTGTTTTGTTTTGTTTTGTTTTGTTTTTTAAATGAAGCCTTTGAAATAAATTCAGGAGTACATGGCCAAGATTTGACCTTTTCATGAGTCCCATTCTAGGTGCTTTACTTTTCTTCATTTTACTTCCTAAGCTCTTTCAGATTCTTAAGAGCCTATTATGCCAGAACAAACTTAGAACATAAGCTTAGAAATAAGGGAACGACTGATTGTCCTAACTTGCTCTAGAATTTGACTTGAGAAAAATGTTTTAGTATGACAGTCTGTGTAAGTTCAAGGTGACCTTCAGTTTCTCCAAAGTTCTGTGTGGAGAAATACTGAAAACTAGGATTGTCAAAATTGATTCTTCAACTCTTGGGTCTTGGGAGGAATTGAGCTTGGACAATGGAGGCAGTAACAATTAAGACCTCAAAGGAAATTTAGCTTAATTCCAAAGTAAACAGTATTTGGGGAGCTATGGTTTCTATCTTTTAAACACATATCATTTGGGGACTAAGATCCAAGAAGCTTCTCTGGGCTTGATTCAAAGGACACTGGTGGGAAGAGTGGTGGGGAGATTGTTTCTGGTTCCCTCCGTGTATACACAGAATGGGTCTGGGAAGGGCATCTGGGTGGCTCAGTTGGTTGAGCATCTGCCTTCAGCTCAGGTCATGATCCCAGGGTCCTGGGATGGAGTCCCAAGTTGGGTTCCCTGCTCAGTGGGGAACTTGCTTCTCTCTCTGCCCCTACCCCCTCCCACTCATGCTTTCTCTCGAGAGTGCTCTCTCTCAAATAAATAAACCTTAAAAAAAAAAAAAAAAGGGCGCCTGGGTGGCTCAGTTGGTTAAACGACTGCCTTCGGCTCAGGTCATGATCCTGGAGTCCCGGGATCAAGTCCCACATCGGGCTCCCTGCTTAGCAGGGAGTCTGCTTCTCCGTCTGACCCTCCTCCCTCTCATGCTCTCTGTCTCTCATTCTCTCTCTTGCAAATAAATAAAATCTTAAAAAAAAAAAGAATGGGTCTGGGAAATTCCGGCCCTTGCCAGGATGGAAGGTAAAGCCATTTCATCTCCCAGGGTATGTTTCTAATGACACCCCTGGGACAAGCTTCCCACGACCATCTTTGTTTCAAACTCCTGAGATTGTTGTGGGAACTTCTGAAACTTCCCTAGGGTTCTTTATGTTTGGGAGAGAACATATGCAAACGAGTTAAATAAGCAAAAGAAAATGTCAAAAAAGTTTAAGTATGGATAAGTCAAAATATAAAGGTGGTTATTTCTTGCACACAAGAATCAGATTTCTGTATCAATGAACATTTTTAATTGTGATAAAAATAGCATCAGTATAAGGTTGTTGGGGAATATGGAAAGGAAGGGCTCAGATTAGGAGACATAGCACATTCATCAGGGGGTGGAGACTCCATAGTCTCCTGCCCCTCCCCACTTGGCCTTTTACCATGCTTTCCAGCACCTGGGAAGAACTTCTACAGACACTATCTCTGTTCCAGCTGTCACTAGCAGATCAGGTAGGGGACAGAGGAGCAGCCAGCGACCCTAACTCTCCTTCCCTTCGACCTTGAAAAAAGTGAAGATGACCGGGCTCATGTGGCCTGGTGTTGCTCCACCTTGTTGGGCAGCCACCGAAACCAGCTAGACTACAAAGGCCTCGCTAAAGACATCATCAACAGCTTTCTCTGTGTCCCTGGCATCAGTGATGCTGGCATTTGGGCCTGTGTCCTAGAAGGAGCTCGGGTTTGCCCATATCAATCAATGCTTCTCACCAGTTTCAGATAAAACTTTCACCTAATAGTGTGTTAGCACTGGAGCCTGGAGAAGCTCCTTGGGGCCCAGGAATCATTAGATGAAATATTCCTCCTTGTCCCTGCCCTTGGCTGAGTCACTTTCCATTTGGAGGATGGCGCTGGGCTCGCCTTCTGCAGGTTCGTAGGTGATGTAGCTGCCTTTGTTCTTGTACAGGTAAAAGAAGATCAAGACCACGACTGAGAGCAGGGTGAGGAAGACCACGGTGATAACAACTTGGAAAGGAGAGGGAAAATGCAGAGATGTTTCAGGATTGAGGATGTCTCAGTAATTCATGGGGTCTCCTGAATTCAACGATTCCCTCACTTTTTATAAAGATCCTTCTGTTCTAGTTAACCAGCGTCCACTTCCAAAATCCACATTCCCCCACAAGTCCCACTTCCACGGTGCATGATAATCTGAAGTATCCTGGGGCTTAAGCTAAGCAGACATGGCTTTTGATTTCTAACAAAACTACCCCCTCTCAACCAGTCCCTGATAATTCTGATAGAAACAGGAAGGAGGGAAACAGGAAACAGCTTATCCCAACAGGAAGGCATTTTTAAATCCACAGCCTCCTGCAGGGACTTCTCTGATCCCTCCCATCCTCGTCCTCCCCCATCTGACCAACCACACATGTTCCCATCCCTACCCGCACACTGGAGTGTACTGCCCGTACACACTTATATCTATTTGTGGCCACTTCCCACATTTACTGGCAGTGTCTCGGGCGTGAAGCCTCTAAGTCTTTTATAGCCTTGTGTGTGTGCATAGAAGATAACCTACGTGCCAAAACGAGCCCATTAATGGATTTGGTCTCCAATTTGTGGTGCTTTCCTGCATAGGGAAAATCCTTGATCACTACACTTGGCTGCCAATCTATGGAGCGAGAGAGCCCTTGAATTCAAAATGGATTTGGCTCAGGGCCTTTGTTACCTGCAATGAGTGCTGTGCTGGCCTCGGCTTCTGGGGACAGGGCTTCAGTGGCCTGAAGAATTGGGGTGGTCACCAGTTCTTCTAGAAAATTTAGAAAAGTGAAAAAGGAAATGGGGTGAATTCTTTTGTCATATAGTGGTTAAGAGTATGGGTTTTGGAGGGGCGCCTGGGTGGCTCAGATGGTTAAGCGTCTGCCTTCGGCTCAGGTCATGATCCCAGGGTCCTGGGATCGAGCCCCGCATCAGGCTCCCTGCTGGGCGGGGAACCTGCTTCTCCCTCTCCCTCAACCGTTCCCCCTGCTTGTGCTCTTTCACTCTCTCTGTCAAATAAATAAATAAAATATTAAAAAAAAAAAAAAAAGAGTATGGGCTTTGGAGCCTAACTGATGAGGTTCTGAGCTCTGTCCTTTACTGGCTGTGTTACCTTCAGAAAATTACCTAACCCCTCTGTGCATTAGCGTCTTCATCTGCTTTATAGGGTTGTGTGACAGGTAGTAGGTAACTCAATAAGGATAAGCTATTATTAGGAATGCATACTTTTACACAGATGAGATCAAATGATGAGTGTATATACATGTATATATATTTACATTATATTGGCAGGGGCATTTCTTTAATGTTCTTACAAACCCTTTGTAAACATCATTTTATTTAGTTTTTTTAATTGTAATTTTTTAAGTAGGCTCCATGCCCAACACGGGGCTCGAACTCATGACCTCGAGATCGAGAGTCACACGTTCTGCTGACTGAGCCAGCCAGATGCTCCAATATTATTTTTAAATAACTAAATAATGCTCTTCCCTTATTAAAACTCTTTCCTACACCACCAGAGTAGGCCATGTAATTGAAAGGTTCTGAAACAAGGCCTCTCCTACCCTAAAATATATCTCATACCTCCTCCTGCTATTGGTCTATCCATCCTTTACAGCCTGGAAGTCCCACCCCTGAAGTCACTACTCAGGGTCGGGACACTCAAAACTCCTGGTCTCCAGGAGTCCCTTTTAAAAATATTTACATGGGCAGTTAGGGAGCCCTTTACTTCTGTCCCTAGTTAGCATTTTAGTGTAGGGATTTGAGAAGGCACCGAGTTAAGGTTACTGCAGGACAGAGGTATCCTGGGGAAAAGGGGCCTCCTGACCCTGACATCGCCCACAGGAGGCATTATTCAATATTCATTCAATAAATAATAGCAGCACTCATCAACCGCCTACCCTTCGCCAGGTACTGGGGGCCAGGCACACTGTGGATATAATGGTAAGCAAACAGCCGGCCTTCATGGAGCTGACCCTCCACCATGCCACTGTTCACAGTTAATGAGCGCAATACACGAGACAAAGGAGATCTCAGGCATGCAGGAGAGCCCAGGACAGAGGGCCTTGATCTAGTCTTCCAGCAGGGCACAGCCTCCCCAGAAAGTGAGATGTGAGCTGGTCGCTGAAGCAGGGGGTAGGAGTTTACAGGGTAAAAGGGACAAGGGCCCACGCAGCCTGAGCACAGTGCAGGAGTGTGACTCCCCTCCGATGCCTGCCACCTTCAGGTTTCCATCCAGGCCAAGGGATACGTAGTCACCAGCGGGGGGACTGGGAGCCTGGGAGCAGTGCTGAAAGGGGTCAATGGTGTTGAGGGGTCTTTTCACACAGGCCAAGGAGCCTGATGAACCTGGTCCTGCAACAGAAAAAGCAGGGGTGGGCTGCCTAGAGCACCCCCCCTCCCAAGGCCAGGCCACATCGTTACGTCTCCTGCTGCCGCTGGGGGCGACACTAACCAACCCTGCAGGGCAACGGTGAGGCCTGAATGAGAGCGCAGGAAGCAATCACGTAGTGACGCTCTTTCTGTGCTTAGTGCTTAAAAGGGAAAGCTAGTCTCGGTTTGAACCTTGCCCCAACATACCACTAGGTGACCCTAAGGAAGTTACTAAACCTCCTGGAGCTTTAGTTTTTTGAACTGCAAAACAGAGGTGTGGTGGGCAGCTGGTGAGGTGGCTCGGGATGGTACCCGCTGCCTGGTGTTTATTTACACCCTGTGTAAGCCCCTCTCCCTGTGTGCGGGCTGGACCTAGGGACTTGCTTCTCACAAAGAGAGTACAGCAAAAGTGATGGGCTGTCACTTCTGAGATTACGTTGTGACTTCCATCAAAGAGAAGCCTTGAACTTTACCCTCCTGATCCCTGCCTCAGTCTGCTGCCCCTCACCACGCCACCACGCACACTTTCCTCCCCCAAATCTCCCAGGGCTGCACTTCATCTTCCCACCACTGATCTAGAATGCTGTACAGATGCTCTTAGTCTTGCCTTTCTTAAACATTAGAAAACGTGAGATATACAAAGCACTGAGAAAAAGAGTTTATGTACGGGAGCTTAAGTATAAAGATTAAGAAGATTCACTTCAATCAATCAACAGCAATTTACTTTGCCCCTACCAGGGACGGGACCATGGAGCTCAATCTCAGTGAGGGTTCAGAGGGCAGACACATATGACTCCCAGAGGACGGAAGATGATTGCTAGTTGGGAAATTCTGCAAATGATCCCAATTATAGCAGCTGCCCTTTATTAAGTCCCTGCTTCGTGCTGGGTGCTTTATAGACATACTCCTTAATCCTTACATCAATCACTTCAAAGTAGGTGTTTTTATTTGCTAATGTGGACCCCGAGGCCCTGGGAGAGTTAAATGGCATGGCTCATGTCACACATGATGCAACAGTGCATGGAGCCAAGATCTGAATCCAGGACTACACGCTCCAAAGCCCAAGCAAGGTATTTATACGAATCCTTCCTACTACGTCCTTTTCTTTTTTTCCAAGAGGGAACAAGAGGGAGAGATCATGAAAGATTACCACAGGGCAGCAAAACAAGCTTTCCAGAAAGCTCGAGGATTTAAAAAATAGGGGTAAAGGCGGGAGAAACACCAGCCGACCACAACCAACTACACGCTGTTGTGCCACAAAAAGTGCGTCCTTAATGCGGACGGGCTCAGGGGCAACCGGTGAGCGGGGAGCGACGTCTGTGTAAGGGGGAAGCCATGTTGCCTCACAGGCAACCTCCTTCACTTTAACGCTTGAGGTGCTCAGAGGCAAGCTCGCTACAACTGAAGAGCACACTTTGGCAATGTAGAAAGACCTGCAGGAACATACAGTTCGGGGTGCCTGGGTGGCTCAGTGGGCTAAGCGTCTGCCTTCGGCTCAGGTCATGATCCCAGGGTGCTGGGATCGAGTCCTGCGTGGGTCTCCCTGCTTGGCTGGGAGCCTGCTTCTCCCTCTCTGCCCCCACCCCTGCCTCCAGCCCCGCTCCCGCTCATGTTCTCTCTCGCTATCTCTCTCTCTCAAATAAATAAATAAAATAGTAAAAAAAAAAAAAGGATTAAAAAAAGAAACATACACTTCAATAGACGTGCCTTCCTTGGATGCAGTTATTGGTTGGAAGCCATCTGGTGAAGCAGTTAAGTACAAATGAAGGAGGTACAAAGAAATTTACCTCTACACGAAGACAACGGAGTAATGAAGAAGGCGGACCCTACATCAGATTTTTGCTTCTGATGAAAATGGTCTCTGTTGGAAACAAAGGCTCTCTGGAATCTACTTCTAAAAAGGAGGAAGCATACATCTCAGGAACAAAAGCTCATCCATTTTGTAGCATGTTCAGAATTTCCTTTGTTTTTAATGTAACAAAGGAAGTTCTGATATACGCTACAAAATGGATGCCACTTATATGAAGTACCTAGAATAGCCAGATTCACAGGGACAGGAAGTAGGATAGTGGTTGTCAGGAACTGGGGAGAGAGGGGATGGGGTAGCTGTTACTATTTTTTTTTTTAAGATTTTATTATTTAAAAAAAAAATTTTTTTTTAAAGACTTTATTCATTTATTTGAGAGAGAATGAGATAGAGAGAGCATAAGAGGGGGGAGGGCCAGAGGGAGAAGCAGACTCCCCGCCGAGCAGGGAGCCCGATGCGGGACTCGATCCCGGGACACCAGGATCATGACCTGAGCCGAAGGCAGTCGCTTAACCAACTGAGCCACCCAGGCACCCCTAAGATTTTATTCTTAAGTAATCTCTCTACCCAATGTGGGGCTTGAACTTAAAACCTGGAGATCAAGAGCTGCATGCTTTACCGAATGAGCCAGCCAGAGGCCCCAGGATGGGAGTTGTTGTTTAATGGGTACAGAGTTCAGTCTGGGTATGAATCTACTTAATGGTATACTTAAATATTGTAAATTTTATGTTATGTATAATTTTGCTGTAATTAAAAAAATTTTTCTTCATACAGTTTACATTCTGAGAAGGTAAAATGGACAATAAATAAAATAAGAAAAAGATACACTGTATTAGATACTGATTAGTGCTATGTAGAAAAAAAGAGCAGGGTGGGCACCTGGGTGGCTCAGTCAGTTAAACACCTGCCTTCGGCTCTGGTCATGATCCCAGCGTCCTGGGATCGAGCCCCGCATCGGGCTCCCTGCTCAGTGGGGAGTCTGCTTCTCCCTCTGACCCTCACCCCTCTTGTGCTCTCTCTCAAATAAATAAATAAATAAAATCTTAAAAAAAAAAAAAGAGCAGGAAGTGGGGTAGGGGGCTGGCATGTGGATAGGGGTGGTCAGGGAGTCTCTCTGATGAGGTGACTTGAGTAAAGACCTCTAGAAGGTAAGAAAGGCAGCCTGGCCGAGATCTGGGCAGAGGGAACAGCAAGTACGAGATAGGGCTATCCACAATATTGAAAAGCACTGGGGGGGCACCTGGGTGGCTCAGTCGTTAAGCATCTGCCTTCGCTCAGGTCATGATCCCAGGGTCCTGGGATCGAGCCCCGCATCGGGCTCCCTGCTCCGCAGGAGGCCTGCTTCTCCCTCTCCCGCTCCCCCTGCTTGTGTTCCCTCTCTCGCTGTGTCTCTCTCTGTCAAATAAATAAATAAAATCTTTAAAAAAAAAAAAAAAAGAAAAGCACCGGGGCTGTTGCATGCTTGGCATGCTTGAGGCACAGCACAGAGGTCACTGAACAGAGCAAGGGAGAAGCAAGAGGAGATGGAATCAAGGGGGCTGTATACTATGGGTGCTGGGGGCCATGGAAGGGCTTTGGCTTTTTCCATGACT